GGTAACCCTGCGATGGACTAGCATCCCATCCAGGGGGGAGTAGAAATACTCCTAGTCGCTTCATGCTACAGAAACCGGGGTAAGCTCCGACCTGATGGGCCACTTGGCTCGCATGCAGACTTCACCTTACCTTTTACCAACCCTGCGATCGATTAGCATCCCATCCGGGGGTAGTAGAAATACTCCTAGTTGCTTCATGACATAGAAACCGGGATAAGTGCCGACCTAATGGGCCACTTGGCTCCTATGCAGACCTTACTTCCTCTTCGGAGGTGCTGTTTGCCTCTTTGTTAGAACGAATGCTCGTGCGAAACATTTTACATGAAAATGACTTGATTTTCAAGAAAAATGAACGTACAGGTGACATGCATTTTCATACGAAAAGTTTTGCACAAAGACTCGTTTTGCCACAGAGGCAAAAGTCAACTGTTCATCCTTCAGCTGGCTCAGGGAGCCTTTGATTTTATATGTTTGACTTTTTCCAGTGTCATCAAATCTCATGTACTTTGACGCTCGTGAACTCTGACGACGGAGAGAACGAAACAAGAGAAATCCAATAAAATCAGAACCGAGAAGCAACATGGGCAACGAATGAGTACAACTAAGATGAATTGTGACTGGCAAATTTGAAAAATTTGATCTTGATGCGACATCGCGTCAGTGATTCCAATTATCGTTTATGACAATACTATGTCAAATGACACTGTCAACGAGAACAGTGCGAAGGATACCATGCAGATACGACAAATATTCCATTTTTAGTACGCCTTCCCTTTTATGATTTTGATATAGAGGACGGTTTTGTATACATGTACTAGATGGTTGCCGCAATTCAAGATTTGCAATTTCGGAAGTAAAAGAAAACAAGAGCAACAGAAACAACAACAAAGAGTAAAAGGTCAAAGAAAAAGTGTTCAGTGGTCTTTAAGATTGTCATTTCCTGTTGGTTCTTCTTGATCGAGATAGGCCTGGGACAGACAACATGTTTCAGGTGTCAGCTAATTATTGCTAGGATCGTACATATACGTCAGAACAGGTGTCCGCCCTTAGTCTGTTTAAACTTTTTATACGTTGTATCACGGTATATCTGTATACGTTTGTGCTAAGGTTAAAAAAAATGAACATAATTTTGACTCTTGGTCACTAGAAACTGTATGAAGTTGATGGTACATGTAATAATAGAGAAACATCCCCTTTAGATGGAGCGCTTTTTGATAAAGGAGAAGCATTCACTGTCTTGATAGGTGAATGAGTGAAATGAATACGGTGCACCCCTGGTGAAGACACGGTTTTAAAAATCTCCTCAAAGATGAAAACTATGAAATTATATATATATTTTTTTACTTTTTAATCCACGACAATTTGAAGCATATGAGGACAAATACTTAATTAAAACAATGTCGTTAAACACCTATTTAGTGTTCAATCTCAGTTCTGTAAGAGTTAAAATACAGAACAAATTTGACTCCTATTTGCTTGCGATCTTTATGGTAGTCAAGACAAAATCAAGTCGTACCCACGAGTCTAATCCACAGAGGCATTCTTTCTCTCGTATAGGAGCAAGCACCACGAAGAAAACATAGTTCTATTAACTCCACAGTTGAATTTACTCTCAAACAGTATGTTTTTAATTACAAACTTTCTTTACCGCTAGTTTAACAAGCTCAAAAATACCTTAATACGATTTAAAAAGCTCTTAATCTCAACGGCTCATGAATAGAAAATGTTATCCTCAAAGTCCCTTAAAGTTATATTTATTGGAGGTCTCTTGTCAGTATTTGTCTACTTGAAGACAGAGCTGGATCTGAGTGTTTTATTTAGAAAGGATTACCCAGTGTACACGGGGTATACTCAAGACGAGTGTAAAAGCTTGGAAATTAATCCTGGTCACGAGTTAATGGTAAGGTGGTAATTTTGGTCACGTGTCATGAGGGTGGCTCAATGAGCTACTTCGGCCATGAAATGATACAAACTTCCTCTTCTCTTGGGAATGTTAGCTTCCTTCCCTAAAAAGGAATGCGAAATAAAGAGTGCTGGTTAGAGGGTTTTGAGAACATCCATATAAGAGAGAGCACGGATCATTGAAGGTGTCGCTGAAAGTATATCCAATACTTTATTTCTTCAAATTTTGAATATGCAGTTTTGCATATTCATCATCATCAAAGCCACAAGAAAGAAGATGCTCTCAATATTAGCGTTGAGTGCAATGTTATAATCTAAAATCTAAAAGAACTAGTGTTCTACATTCGGTGATTGACTGAAAGACTGAAATAGTAGTGCAACAGAAGCTTTCCCATTGACGTCCGACCTAAAAAGGATTTAAAAAAAAACTACGAGATAGTGACGAAATAAAAATCACACACAGCACCCCGCAGCAACAGGTTGCCTACTATTTAACCACTGTAAAGTGCAAATAGTACATTTATCCGTGTACAAAAAATAATATTATCTTTTATCCTTACCTGGCTTGAACATGCACCTTAAATCTTGCGCTAGTCAGTTAATACGTAAGGAAGATTGTGTTTTTGATACCAAGGGTAGAAACATGACAACATATTTTTTTATGTTTTATCCCTGAGAATCTGGGCCGGGTTGTTCAAAGCCCGATTAAACTAACCCAGGATTAGCAAGAATTTTGATTTCAATTTTGTAACTTTTCGGTCAAGTTTTCCGCTTATAATGTTTGTCCTTCATTTTTGAGTTTGGCTAAGCTCAAACTACATAAAACCTGAGCAGTAAAATATATTTTTATGCAAGAAAAATTAATGGTTCGGTTAACTTTTAATCCTAGGTTAGTATTAACCGGCTTGCGAACAACCCGGCCCAGGAGATATATTTTAAAACCGTTTCAATATTATCATCATCTTCTCTGTTTGTCAAACTTCTACTGCGGACAGATAATGAATTACTTGTTTCAGGAATAAAAAAAAAAAATTGGGGGGTCATGGACTTCGTTTCAGAGATAAAGTGTGTTGAAAACTAGTCTGATTTTGAGAAATTGGCACGCGTAAATCAGCTTGGTCTCCAGGGTTTTTAGCTCAAAATCAAAGATAAATCAACGAAGACAAACTATCCTAGCAATAGTTTGTGTAAGTGAGTCCGTCGCTTTAATAATTCCAAATGCTGCCAAAGTTTTCACAAAACGTAATCCTTCAAGAGGCATTTGAAACCGCCGTACAGATAAACGAATAGCTAAAACGAACGGAATTCGATGGTGCATTTTGCAAAATAAAATCAAACTTCTAATCGATAGATCTCTTTCATTTTTTCGCTAAACGTAGAAAATCAGTAGAGAAAATGATCCATCAAAAGAAAAATAGGGGTCACCGAACGTCCAAGATCGTTTAATCCAGGCGAAGCTATAGCAATAGCCATCTGCCCTATCATTGTTCATTTTATTACTTCGCGCGCGCTCGATACATGACGTGGCGAGTGAATTTGCGTGCGCAGTAAGGATGCGCAGAAACAATTAGCGTGAACGTCATTAAACGGCTTGTTTACTGCTTATTTACTGTCAAGATAAAACTCCGATGTGCATGATATGTTGTTATGAACGTGTACAGGCCCATGGACGCCTTATGCAAAATGGTGTTATTATTGTTGTTGCTCAAAGTTTACTTTACATGTAGCATAGTTGTCGACCGTCAATGTTCCCACAACTCACTGGTTTCTCTTGGGGTCAGTCATTAAGTGCTTATTGACCAATGACAAAACAGATGTAATGAATAGTATGGCTTGAATTTGATAAAGCAGTGGAAGAATATTCACAAAGACAAAGAACTTAGGAGGCAATCGACTGGAAAGTCATGTCTAAACATAACAGTGACCAGAAGTCGTCTCAACGCGGTGTGAAGAAAATTATACAACTAACGAAAATAAACAAATAATATTTACTTTCCATCAGAGTACCGTTTTCGACAAATGACTTACGTTTTCTGCGAAAGTATTAATATTAGCAATAATAATAAGTAGTAACAAAATTATCAGAATTCATTGGAAATAAACTTATCGGCTCTTCATATCACAGACATTTTTAATTTACATTGCGTATATCAACCAAGGCAAAGAAGGTAAACTTTTAATCGCCCTCGTCTCTCCTGTCAGTAATGTAATGTAATGTAATGTAATGTAATGTAATGTAATGTAATGTAATGTAATGTAATGTAATGTAATGTAATGTAATGTAATGTAATGTAATGTAATGTAATGTAATGTAGTGTAGTGTAGTGTAGTGTAGTGTAGTGTAATGTAATGTAATAGACCAATTTCGATATATTAAAATTCAGCCTAAAACAATAGACCTCAGAACGAGGCTCTGGGTAATAAACCCCACAAACTCTGTAGCTATTCCTCAGATCCTCGTACTGAGGTCCATTGTTTTAAGTTGAATTTTAATATATTGAAATTGGTCAATTGCCAAACATCCCAATGTTTGCCAAATGTTTGCTCTGATTGATGTGTTCTGCACCGAACCGAATATTGTGACACTATTTTGTTGATGTTTTTCATGTGCTGTTTATAGGTAGTAGTCAGAAAAACATAAATCCTCCCTAAATGCCTGCCCATGGCAAATAGTTGTATAACTAGTTGTGCATTATTTGACAACTAATCCACGTGATTCATGGCTTAAATATAATCATTCCGTTTGTGCTTTGCTTGGCATATTTTATCCTGCAGCTCATTTACTTTACTTTGTAGCTGGTTAAATCTAGTTTTAATCACGTGATAAGCAGCTGGCATTGAAGCAACATTATTAAGCTGGCTTGTATTATAAACTGGACCCAGACCCACAGAAATGACCGTCACTCCAGCTTTGTGTAATGCCTGAGCAGAGGGTTGAACTTTGTCCCTTGAAGTGCCTTCTGTCAGCACAACGAGAACTTTGGGAACATTAATCCGACTTCTTTTATCAAACAGCTTCTCATTGGCTAAGGCTAATGCTTTTCCCGTCATTGTAAAGGTCCCTGGATAAGAAATATTCTCAATAGCGAGGGCTAAGTCCTTAGGCGAGGTATATTTGTTGAAAGGGATGGCTATTATAGGTTCAGTCCCGTAAGTTATCGCCCCAACACGAGTTTCCTCAGGAGAGATGTGGAATCCCAAAGAAACATTTTTGACAAAATCCAGCATTTTCTTGAAGTTTCCTTTTCCAAGAACCTCAATACTTCTTGCGCCATCGATAACAAATCCGAGGTCAGAAGGGCACTTTCTCTGGGTCTGCAATCGAGCTGCAACTGAACATGCCGAATGGATTTTATTAGTTCGATGATTAGACAACCCCCGGCAGGCAAATTTTGCATTAGCGATAAGGTGGTTATGCGGATGAAGGTATCTGTAGAGTTGAGTCGAAGGTGCGCTAACAGTCGGTATTCCGTCTGCTTGATGTGTTAGATGACACGAAGTGAAGCGAGGTGAAGTTAAGTATTTCTGACAGCTATTCCTGGTGATTTGTTAAAGTGATCGAGAGTGATGATATTGTGCTCTNTCTTTCATTTTTTCGCTAAACGTAGAAAATCAGTAGAGAAAATGATCCATCAAAAGAAAAATAGGGGTCACCGAACGTCCAAGATCGTTTAATCCAGGCGAAGCTATAGCAATAGCCATCTGCCCTATCATTGTTCATTTTATTACTTCGCGCGCGCTCGATACATGACGTGGCGAGTGAATTTGCGTGCGCAGTAAGGATGCGCAGAAACAATTAGCGTGAACGTCATTAAACGGCTTGTTTACTGCTTATTTACTGTCAAGATAAAACTCCGATGTGCATGATATGTTGTTATGAACGTGTACAGGCCCATGGACGCCTTATGCAAAATGGTGTTATTATTGTTGTTGCTCAAAGTTTACTTTACATGTAGCATAGTTGTCGACCGTCAATGTTCCCACAACTCACTGGTTTCTCTTGGGGTCAGTCATTAAGTGCTTATTGACCAATGACAAAACAGATGTAATGAATAGTATGGCTTGAATTTGATAAAGCAGTGGAAGAATATTCACAAAGACAAAGAACTTAGGAGGCAATCGACTGGAAAGTCATGTCTAAACATAACAGTGACCAGAAGTCGTCTCAACGCGGTGTGAAGAAAATTATACAACTAACGAAAATAAACAAATAATATTTACTTTCCATCAGAGTACCGTTTTCGACAAATGACTTACGTTTTCTGCGAAAGTATTAATATTAGCAATAATAATAAGTAGTAACAAAATTATCAGAATTCATTGGAAATAAACTTATCGGCTCTTCATATCACAGACATTTTTAATTTACATTGCGTATATCAACCAAGGCAAAGAAGGTAAACTTTTAATCGCCCTCGTCTCTCCTGTCAGTAATGTAATGTAATGTAATGTAATGTAATGTAATGTAATGTAATGTAATGTAATGTAATGTAATGTAATGTAATGTAATGTAATGTAATGTAATGTAATGTAATGTAATGTAGTGTAGTGTAGTGTAGTGTAGTGTAATGTAATGTAATAGACCAATTTCGATATATTAAAATTCAGCCTAAAACAATAGACCTCAGAACGAGGCTCTGGGTAATAAACCCCACAAACTCTGTAGCTATTCCTCAGATCCTCGTACTGAGGTCCATTGTTTTAAGTTGAATTTTAATATATTGAAATTGGTCAATTGCCAAACATCCCAATGTTTGCCAAATGTTTGCTCTGATTGATGTGTTCTGCACCGAACCGAATATTGTGACACTATTTTGTTGATGTTTTTCATGTGCTGTTTATAGGTAGTAGTCAGAAAAACATAAATCCTCCCTAAATGCCTGCCCATGGCAAATAGTTGTATAACTAGTTGTGCATTATTTGACAACTAATCCACGTGATTCATGGCTTAAATATAATCATTCCGTTTGTGCTTTGCTTGGCATATTTTATCCTGCAGCTCATTTACTTTACTTTGTAGCTGGTTAAATCTAGTTTTAATCACGTGATAAGCAGCTGGCATTGAAGCAACATTATTAAGCTGGCTTGTATTATAAACTGGACCCAGACCCACAGAAATGACCGTCACTCCAGCTTTGTGTAATGCCTGAGCAGAGGGTTGAACTTTGTCCCTTGAAGTGCCTTCTGTCAGCACAACGAGAACTTTGGGAACATTAATCCGACTTCTTTTATCAAACAGCTTCTCATTGGCTAAGGCTAATGCTTTTCCCGTCATTGTAAAGGTCCCTGGATAAGAAATATTCTCAATAGCGAGGGCTAAGTCCTTAGGCGAGGTATATTTGTTGAAAGGGATGGCTATTATAGGTTCAGTCCCGTAAGTTATCGCCCCAACACGAGTTTCCTCAGGAGAGATGTGGAATCCCAAAGAAACATTTTTGACAAAATCCAGCATTTTCTTGAAGTTTCCTTTTCCAAGAACCTCAATACTTCTTGCGCCATCGATAACAAATCCGAGGTCAGAAGGGCACTTTCTCTGGGTCTGCAATCGAGCTGCAACTGAACATGCCGAATGGATTTTATTAGTTCGATGATTAGACAACCCCCGGCAGGCAAATTTTGCATTAGCGATAAGGTGGTTATGCGGATGAAGGTATCTGTAGAGTTGAGTCGAAGGTGCGCTAACAGTCGGTATTCCGTCTGCATGATGTGTTAGATGACACGAAGTGAAGCGAGGTGAAGTTAAGTATTTCTGACAGCTATTCCTGGTGATTTGTTAAAGTGATCGAGAGTGATGATATTGTGCTCTGTTTGGATGTGTTACAAGAGGCAAGGTGAGGTGAGATGGAGGATTTCTGTCAGTCTTTTGTCGTGAATTGTGAAATGTAGCACTCTATTCCGTCTGGATGGGTTAGATGAAGCGAAGCGGAGATAGTATGTAAGGATCTCTGACAGCCTTCGTGGTTTGGCGAAACGCAATGACAGTAGGTAAATATGCGGTGATGAATTTTGATAACTTGCTGTTGTTTCAGTCAGTCTCTTTTAAAATTTTAATGTAAATTTTGTCCCTTGATATAAGCTTTCAAGCCCACAATTGAGGCTTGAAGCAATCTAAACATAGCTCCTGGTTTTGGGCAAAGCAGCTATTAAATTCACAGTCAGCTGATATTGCTTTGTTTTTAACAGTTGACATAACATTTCAAGCTAGTTTAATATCTGGCGTTTTTTAAACTGAAGTCATTCATTCTACATTGAATTCACAAAACACACAAATTAAGTTCTTTCTAGGCGTTTATCCTCTCTAGGTAGGACTTGCTTCCTTGGTCTTCAACCAACAAATCGGGTTTGACCCTTACGTTGTGGATACACTCGAATTTCTAATCTTCTTTCAGAGAAGCTGTGTGCAGGATGATCAAAATGACAAGCGAAAAACCGCTCAAACAAACATAAGCCTAAGGAGCACAGCGCATAGAGCGGTTTTCAATTGAATGTCGTAAAACCAAAAGTAAACCAATTACTCACCAATTAGACTACTCAGCCAATCTCAAACCACAGTAAAACCGCTACTGAAACCGGCAAAGTAACTGCCAGATTACTTTCGACACTCAATTGAAAACCGCTCTAAAAGTTAAAGAGTTATAAATTTTGTTATTCATTGAGCAGCTCACCTGACCGATTCGCCGACTGGCATATTCCCTTTTGAATTCTCTCCATCAGTGTGTCTGCGTCATTGAACGGGGCCAAGAAGACATGGTCTTTAGNTTTTGTTATTCATTGAGCAGCTCACCTGACCGATTCGCCGACTGGCATATTCCCTTTTGAATTCTCTCCATCAGTGTGTCTGCGTCATTGAACGGGGCCAAGAAGACATGGTCTTTAGCTGGTTCAGACGCAATAACGTCGAGCTGTGTTTTGTTGACATCTCGTCCCACTCCTAGGCAGAACACCTCAATACCTCGCCTTTTCAGTTCTATCGCAGGCCGACTAACATCATCAGTCGAACTACCATCAGTCACTAGTAGCAGCACATTGTGTTTAGACGTGGGGATTGGACTAAACAAGTGCTCTTGAGCCAAGGTGAGTGCTTTCCCTATTTTTATCTCGAAGCTTGGATTACTGGCATTGTCAATAGCTTGATCCATGCTTTTTTGGTCAAGAAATCTGTCAAAGTGGACTACAGACGGCTGTGGGGACCCTCCGTAGACTACCATACCAATACTGTTACCTTCAGGAGACACGGGGAATAAGTGGGACACATGCTTTGCCAAGTCCATCATCTTTGTTGCCTGTTGCTTACCACTACCTTCAGAAGGCGAAGAACTATCGAGAACCACTCCAAGGTGAACCTTTCCGCATTCTAAAAGTATTGCAAGTATTACTGTTGAACTGTCATGATCAAACAACTAGTATATCTAGCAAGCACCTGTTCCTCCCAAATGACAGCACACTATTACTGTGGTCAACTGGGCCTAAAAATGTTTGGTGTAGTCATAAATGAGACATGTTATACCGCGATAAGTGCTCACATCGATCACGTGGTGTATTTCCCTAGTCATGATCGAAACATGCTCAATCTGACCATTACTGAAACTCCTTCACGGGAACCCCCAACCCTGGGTTTCAATCTTGATTAGAAGAAAGATTCAACAGATTACGGTCTACAGCAAGTGAGAAGCATCGTTCCTGAAGGTCTTGTTACGGGAGATTAAATCACAGAGTAAAGGTAAAATCAAATTCAAGCTCCTGTTTTGATTTAGGGTGTAATTATAATATTCAATACGAGTGCCGATGAGCCGGATAGATTATGTAGCCATTTTTAGCTCGCGTTTGGAAATAAATAATGCAATTAAAGTCATATTTAGGTGAAACTTGTTTCTCATAAACATGTTTATTTTAAACATGTTTCGGCGAAATTGTATATGGTTACGTTAATTTGATTTGGGTTCTAAGAGTACAGTTCTGCCCGTGTTGTTATAAATGTACGTCAGTTCTTTGAATACTTGTCACCCCTTACAGCTTGAAAGTTTACTGCCAACCTAGTAAATCGTGTATAAGATTATGTTAAAGTAAAAGTCTGAAAAAAAAAGTTATCTTAATGTCACTTTTGGATTAAAAGGTTATTAGAATTAAATGAAGCTCGAAGAACCCAATAATCGTAGATTAAATGCAAATTCGAAAAGTTACTAGTTATTTATGGTGAGAAATATGCTCACCTTGTCTGTCTATTTCTTGTACTTTATTGTCATAGTTTTCCGCTGCTTTTCCAACTGCTATGACCTTTGTTGGCACTCTATAGTCAGACGGTAATTCACCCTGCCCTTTGGAGTAGCCTTCAGGGTAATTTGGCTGCCTGAAAGGTCCAAAGTTATTTTCACTCGGTGAGGGTGTGAATGCCGGATGTCCTTGAGATCCGGAGCCCTGAACTTTCTCGTGGCTCAATGTTGCTGGCCGTTGAGTTCCTTGTAAAGTATCGTCTACTTTAGAGAATTGTTTATTTGCATGTTTGTTAGAGTAGTCTTGGCTTTCTGATTTTTCACCGGACTCATCTACGTTATCAGTACCTGTACTGATATGGGGTTTATAATGTTCTGGGAAACCAGCAGCAAAGCGATGAACCTCGGAAATCTGTATATGTTCTTGGTTGCTAGGGAACGTGTCATTCTTTTGATTTAAGTTCTGTTCTCCGTTATCAAATTTGCGATCCCCTTCGGAATCTTTTGAATAGTCGTCTGTACCTATCTCGTTTTCCTCGTCTTCACGACTTTGGTCATTTTCCTTACTTTCTTGATGTTCTACAGAAAGTCTGAATTCCTGCCCTTGGGTATCTCCATGATTCATTTCCCCCGCAGATGTGCCATAATTCTGGCTTTGTTGCTCGTTTCTAGAATCCTTCTCGGAGAGGTGATATCCATAAGAAACGAGCGATGCAGGCTTTTCTGAGGCACCATTAGCTTGGCCACCCTGTTCCCTCAATAAAAGACGCCCATCATTGTCTGGTCTTGAGGATTCTGTCGGCTGAGATTCTTCAGTGTCATTGCCTTGAGGGTAACTAGCTTGAGATTCAAACTGGTGGCTTTGCTTTTCGTTTTGGGAGTAAGGCATCCTGACATTCTCCGACTGCTCGTTACTTTGTGAATACGATAAATCGTTTTCTTGTTGCGGGTTTGAACCTGTAGACGCGGCTTCGTTTTCAGAGGACGCCGTACTGTAATCTGAGGAAGGACCAATTTGACCGTTGTATGTCTCACATGTACATGGCACCTGTCTGTCTCGCACGATCCCCATGACATCTATGAAGCGAACAAATAAAGTAATGTTTCTTCAAGTGCAATTACCTAAGTTTAACGTGAAAGGATATAATTGTAACGTAATTTCGTTATCACAAGCCCGTGGTACGAACGAGGTAAATCTAATAGATAAATAAGGTGACACTGAAACAGCCAAGAATATACCAGGTAAGTGGAGCAGCTTATCATCGTTTTCTAGATTCATAAAAAAGCGAGTGTAAGACGAAAAATAATTATAATATAAAATTTGTAAATATTAAAACGTTAATCACGTTTTGGAACAAAAAGAGTACAATTTCATTTATAAAAGAGAGTTAAAGAGCCTGAGAAAAACGCAAATATTTTCCAAAAAAGGTTTTAAAACTGTAGTCAGGGATGGACATCAGTAATATAAATTCGAATTTGTCTTGTAAAAAACAAGGTTAGCTGTACCGGAGCGTAAGTCAAACAAGCAGCTATCAAGAGGATGATGTTGAGGTATTGGTTAAACAACCGTGGCGATTTTGGGAATCCAATTCAACAGAGATCAATTTCGAGGTTTCCTTGAAACATGTACATAAAACTTTCCCGGAAAGAAAGACAAGGATGTAAAGACAATGAGAAAGCCAGAAATAGAAAAGGGAGAAGTACAGAGAAATATATGAAAAATAGAGACAACCTTGGAACAAAGCTTGTTTTGGAACTTTTTTGCAAGATGTAACTGAACTACTTGGTCATGGGCGCCAACATGCTCTGATGGTTCACGATATAGTAGGTAAAGTACAAATTGACACAATTAAACCGGCGTTTTCTTCCCCACCATGACTACCTGTCTTCTAAGGCTTCCTACCTCTACAAACTCCTTGAATGATTTCATCCATAGCGTTTGGCAATGTGTCTAAGAATGCGGTAAACACGTGCTCGGACTTGGGCTCCGAAGCAACATTTATCAGCTCCCTGACATTGGCTTGCTTTCCTAAGCCGATAGCTGTAACCTTAACCCCAGAATCTCGCAGCTCCTCTCCAGGTGTTACCACGTCATCAGCTGATTCTCCACTGGAGAACAATATAAGGGCCCTTGGGGCATCTTGACGACCGGAAACAGCAAACAGAGATGCCTTCATTTGCAGAAGAGCATTTCCTGTGTAGGCCTTACCTCCAATATAGGGAGCAATATTTACAGCATCATCAAGCTGTTTGAAGTCGCTAAGGCCCTTGAGATCAAGAGCTGTCTTGACACTATCACCATAAGCCATAAGTCCAACATGAATGTTGCTTTTGTCAAAACCACGCGAAAATATTTTGATAAATTCAAGGACACGGGCATAATATGGCTGAGGAATGTTAGCTGAGCCGTCAACAAGAAAGGCGACGTCTGCTTTGGCCGAACATTCTGTAGATAAATTAAGATTGAGAAAAGTAATCAAATAGATTTATCAGCTATTCTGTATGTCTCGATCGAGACGGGTTAATCTTTGAAGTGTAAACGCTATAAATATTATTACATAATTCTCTCTAATCAATACGAAAGAGAAATCACATTTATCATTAAACACATTCGATATACCATTGAAAAAGAAAAACCTTCTAAAGGACGGTAGAAATCCTCTGGGGAAAGTGGAATAAATTGTTGTGATAGCACGATTGCATGGTATGACTCATACCATCCAATCGTGCTCTTTCATACCTTTTTGAAAAAAGTATGAAATATACCCTTGAACATTAAGAACCAGTCAGAAGTAGATTTGAGAAACGAAATTGGGCTCCTACCGTACCTTTCTTTGGACATAAGCAGTCTTCAGTTGGCTCTGTATTATAGTAGTCAGATGTAAGATGAGCTTCACCATTATCCCTATCCCGAGAACGTCTGTTGCTTCCCAAACTTGAATTCGATCCTTGTTTCACCTCATCCTGAGTGTGTTCGATTTTTTCTTCGCTGCCCACCCTAATGGATCCTCCTGTATAAGCTTGTGTCATGCTCGTGTCATCATACTCAGCTCCCATGTTTCCATAAGACCCTGCTTGGCCGTCAGAGTTAACTTGTTGTAAAATATTTTGATCGTCATTATGAGCGAGGTCACTTATTCCTTGCATGGCTTCATTATCGTACACAGGTCTTGACTGTTGACTTGCATCCGGCATGGGTTGAGTTTCCTCACTGGGACTTTCCAGAACGTCCCCGTTTCCTGGACCATAATCGTCTCCGGCAGCACCATTAGGTTGATTTTGCATTTCAGTTTCTTCTCCAGGGCCTTGGAACTCTTCCCCATTGGCTTGTCCAAACTCTGTCCCGCTTAAAGTACCCGCTTTGGTTAGGTCCACCATGGGCACTGGCTCACCTTCTTCCAGTGGCTGCCCTTGGTCAGATTCCGATTTTTCATTAGTATTACCTGCCGTTGTTTGATGCAATTTATTTCCCTCAGCCGTGGGAGTAAGCTTACTCAACACGTGTTCCTGTTGAGGGTATTTCTGTTGTAGTGTGGGTCCACCATCATCCTCCTTTTTTGGGTTAGTTTTCACTTGTTGCGAATTCATTTCAATCGTTGGCTTTTCTTTGCTCATTGATAGAGAACTTCCTTTCATGGAGGAAAGACTGTTGGAATTATCAACTTGTTCTCCATGCTGAGATATTGGGCTTTGTAGCTTATTCGATATCTGCGAAGCCTCTCCAGGTTTCGTTCCCTGTTCTTGACTTTGTTTGTCAGATAACTTCGGTTGAGCCACCCCTTCGACCTCTTTCATAGCCTTCACCTTGGAATTTGGTATCATTGGGTTTTGCTGCAAAGCTGTAGCCAACGGTTCCTTCATTTCTTGGCCCTTTGAATAATCCGCTTTGCCGGAAGGTGTCGTAGTCTGTTCGTCTTTTGATGAACTTTGTAATGAGCTTGACGAACCTTCAGCTCTTGCAGCTGACACGTGGCTTGAATCAGTAACATCATTTTCTAAATGTTCTTTATACGTTGCTGGTGATTTGTTATGGTCTTCATCCTCTCGGTGATTCCCCATTTTCCCGTAGTCGCTAAAATGTGTAGGTGCATTCTTCGCATTGAGTTTTGCTTCTATTCCCTTGTTATTGCCCAAAATATTATCTGAATAATGCTGAGAAAATTTGTAATCTTGATTGTCATCCCCTGCTTCATTTTGTTTCATAATGTCAGGCTTCATTGCGTTTAATGGCGTGCCAATTAAGGTGATATATTTGGAGTTCTGTCCCTTTTCTGCTGCAGTCATTTTATTTGAATTAATATGATTAGTTTCACCCTTAGTAGGTGATACCATCAATCTTTCATCCGATCTGCCGTCACTTTGTTTTAAAGCTTCACCCAGTTTCTTATATTCTCCGCTAACAGAGTTATCGTTGTTTGAGAGCTCCTTTGTTTTGCGAGGCTGGAAGGATCCTTCAACCAGTCCCATCTGTTTTCCTGGAGGACTACCTACAGAAGCTGAGGAAGGGGAGTAGATGCTGCTGACATCTTTCCACGATGCAGCGCCTTGAACGGCAGGCTTCGAGCTCTCGCTCAAAACCTCCGGGTTTCCTTTCGGGTCCGTTAAAGGTAACGGTTTTCTAGAAAGTGGTGTCGGCTGTTTGAAGGCGTTACCTGCAACTGCAGTGTTCGTGCTGGGGATTCCAGGAGAGTTAGTCGTATCTTTGCTTTTGGAATTCTCTGAACCATGTGTAGGGTCGGGTACTAATTTTTGAAACGCCGCAACCTGTTTGAAATTTTTGATGTCTTCACGAGACATTGGAATGTATTTTCCTTCCACTTTGTTAGCATTACCATTGTCGTTGAAGCTGTTCTGTTGCATCGCACCATGGAGATTCTTGGTATATTGTACATCTGTGGCATATTTGTCTTGGTTACCGTGAAAAGTTTGTCCACCTTGTTTTGGTGGGAGTGGGCTATTACCAGCGCCTTCAAGTTGTCGTACCTGACCTCCATTCGAAAATCGTGCACTGTGCGATTCTGGGGTCCCAACTGCAAATTTGCCTAGCAAAAAATGACAAAAGAGCTAGTTTACAGAAGCAACCTGATCATGAAAATCAACTCTGTGTATTGCTATTATGTGGTAGAAGGGGATACGTGATGAGCTCTAATGAAACATCCTCAATTGCTTTAATTCAGACATCTTTTAAAAAAAATTTCCATTTAACGAAATATTTGGGCTGGAATTTTCTGTTTGTAAGAGCTTGTTCAAAAAGAGTTCACTCTCCTTTTGCTTCCGTTCCCTCATTGGTCCTGTTCCCCAATAGAATCTACGGTGTCCTTCGATACTCTTTGTAATCCTGGCAGTCTTCAAAATTCCTGGGAGTCAAAATCCCAGTTCTTTCTTGTAATTGATATAGGGCGTGCTTAAAACAAACTCGACAGTGGTTAGCTGTCAATAACTGTAATGGTTAACCCCGGAGGAATACTCCCTTATATGGGTTATATAGGTATGTGCGGCCCCAAAGGGTGAAGTTTTTCAGTCGTTTTGGTCATGAATAGGGTATCGACTTTGGTCATTTTGGTCTCAAATAGGGTATGGTTTTTTCACGGTAGTCTTGAATTGGGTATGTTTTTTTAGAAGAAGCTACTTTTTCATCATTATCGACTAGACCATCATCAAAAGTCCTTCATAAATTATGTTTAGGGCAACTGTGCTAGCCGCAACGGTCATAAATAGGGTGCTGCATTTTTGGTCACGTCATAAATAGGGTTGGGAAAAATTGCAGTTTTTGGTCATAAATAGGGTAAGGGTTTTGGGAAACGGGCCGCACACCCGCACCCAATTTTTCTGTGAGTACCCCCCGGGGTGGTTAACCCTTACAGATACCCATATCCCACATTCACTATTAACCGTAGTGCCATTTCGCCATTTCGCTATTCCGTTTTTCAAAAACGCGCGTTGACATATATTTAATCATCAATACTGAGTTGTCGACTGGATATGCACAAGATATTTTTGTCCCTTTTCTATAATGGACTCGGAGAAACGACGAGTATGTTATCTCAGGTGGCTCTTCATTTCCTGTCGTTCGCGTCTATTGACCATGTTCATCACGTAACATACTGCTTTCAATTACTTCAATTTGTCGTTCATACTTTAGTAATTTGCAATTCTGCTTTTATATAACTGATTATGCTGGTTCTTACCACTACATAATTTGACGTTGCAATCTTGACTCTCTACACTGGGGCCCAGGCTTCTACAATCTCTTCCACCATTGGAAGGAGGTGGATTTGAACATTTTCGCATTCGCCTTCTAACACCTCCACTGCATGTTTTACTGCATTGAGTCCATGGAGACCACTCACTGTAATCACCGTTTATAGTTTTTTCCGGTTCCACAAAACTGTAAATATAAAGTGAGTTTGAGATTTTAACATAATGTGTTTATCCCTATATATAGTTCCCAGGAGTAATCAACATTAATAGCGTTTAGGTAAATACTGGAACTCAAAGAAAGGTAGATTATCGCAGGTTTAAAATCACACTGTCTGACGTTACCAGCATTGATTAAAAACCATGCAACAAATGTCCTAAAATATAGGTTGTTTATGAAAATTTGTGTTGCTTAATATTCAGTATTTTGTTCAAGCATGAAAGAGTTGTCTCGCAGGACGTTTTACCGATACACTTGTATACTCCAGGGACCACCTTTACCGTCACCTGACAAAAATAAAAGAGAGAAGTAAGGTAGAAAGAGTTCCTTCACATAGTTATAAAACAGAAAAACTGAAAACATAAGCGCACATATGATTGCTTTCGACAGCCAATTGAAAACTTCTAGTAGTTATTAGTAAGGGAAGCGGTGATTGGGGATAGAGCTGTCATGAAAATGTCGTAGTTTCGTGCCTCGCACCCAGAGTTACTCGTGATTTGAGATGTTTCAGTTCTTGTTCCATTTTGTTTCCGCCCATTACAGGAAATATAAACAACAATACGATTCTATCTGGATAGAAATGCACCTTAGGTATTATATATGGTCCTTTTTACCATGATGCCACCCTTAGCAACTGTTACTTTGTTATTTATTTCGTTGCACATACCTTTACAGTCCTTAGAAGGTCCATACTTGCGATAGCGTTTCTCTCCATCAGCACTGGCAAAACACTGGCCTCCATTTTCGATGCCAAATACCTTGAGTCCCTTATCCCCTGCTGCTCGTGCGCACTTAAAAAGAGCGTGACTCCTTCCTTTATAATTAGGATCCATCAACAAGTAGTGATCTCCTTCTAAGGATGGAAGGCCTCGTGCCCATGCATCTCGCCAACAACCCAGGCTTTCAAACCCTGTGGAGGGAGGTTTTTTATAAATCCTTAAGTATTATTTCTTAGAGGTTCTAGATTATAGATGAAAGCAGTTACGAGGTTACAATGCCGTTACGTTTGCTCAGCCCTCAAATGGTTTAAAAAAGGTTAAGTAACCTGTCTACCCAATCAGAGAAAACGTGTAATTAGCAATCTAATCAACCGAACCGAGAGTTATAAGTCTCAGAGGCGTGTTCGCACGCTTTAAGATAGTTTGCATGGTTTTTCGTTCAGTTCTGACTGTTTTATTGGGTAAGTTAAGTTTATTGTAGCCAAGAACCTGATTGATTATTCTTTATATCAAGGGACCGTAAAAATATGTACTCTAAAATCAATCCAGTTCTGCGTGTAATATGGTTTCCATTATTAGCGGGCGGTCATTTGTCGTCTAGGATGCAGCTCACAGCATTCATGTTAACGAATTTGTATCTTCTACGTCTTGTGTGAGGAGGTTCTCAATTAGCCGTGCTGTCTTACCTAGATTGATTTATGTACCAGCTGAATTAGGTATTGTATAATACAAATTGTAATAGTAGACATAACATTTAGGTTCACCTACTTTGGCCATTGACTTCAAGTTCTCCCGTTATTTGCTGTCTTTTTTCCAATTTTGCAAACTCTTTATCTTCTTTAGTTGTCGCTTGCCCTTAAAAGTAAAATTGCACGTAATAAGATTGAAGTAGCTTGAACGGAATTTATCGAACTGATAACGTATTATAGTCCATGAGCCAAGGCCAAAAAAATACATTGAATACATTGGACTAATAGACCATAGCAACAGAAAAACGTTGCGAGAGATACCGAACGAACCTGGAATATTGCAAACGCAACAGACCCGCACTCGCCCTTTCTCTACAATACTCTTTTTCGCAGTTTATATTTAAATTCGCTCTTTTTACGCCATTTTAGCAACAGCAGACCATTTCATTTAAAGTTAGTTCAGTAAAATAGCAAAACAAACAAAAAAAAAATTCACTGCTCATTACGAAAATGTGACTGACAATCTACGGTTTAAATGCATTTCAAAAGTATTTCTTTCTGTAGACCAAGGTACAGGCACCAAAATATACCAGCATGAAGCGGATTCTACTGTGAAATGAACTCCCACTAAAATATAGAGATATAGTAAAATATGCCGGCCATTATTAAATCTTCGATTCTGATTCCATCTTTCCCACTTTGAGCACTTCATAAAGGTAGTTGACCTAAACACAAGAAATTACTTCTTTAATAAACGCATTTCAGTAGGACATATTTCATTTTCACATCTACTGCCTAATTACCTTTGTCGATTTTGTTGATGTACCTGCCATCCACTTTGTTCCATATCACATTTGCCAAGAGAAAAACAATGACCCACATGTTGAACTGTGTTTGCCCCAACAAACTTTGATATTTCTCTTCTTACGGCTTGGAACGGTCCAGGCAAATCTCGGTTCACTAACATTTGCCCCAGAAAAAACAAAAACACAAACATCAGTAACTGAGGAAGGATATTGAAGGAAAACTTAGTCTACCACCTAAAAACGAATGATGTAACTCGTACCACTTTAGGCCAAGAGAGATCTGGCTGGTTCCGGTAAAACAAAAACAATGAAAACAAAAACGTCTGTAACTGTTTTGTTTTCGAAGGGACCGGCTCAAGAAATGTGAATATCGTTACCTTAAATGGCAAAGGGAGGCATTCTGATATTTGTCAATGTCCGTAAATCGCTTTTTAGCACGACTTAACCAAGAGGAAATTCATAAATTTCAGAGTCCTTGATGACAAATGATCAAGAACAAATTTGTCTCGTGAATTTTTCATAAAGAAATTCTTAAAAATTAATAGCTCGTAACCTAACAACCGTAAAAGGAGACCATAAACTCTATTTCCCCTCTTAAAAATTTACGAAAGGCAAATACGCCGGGATAAACAAAGAAACGGCTTCTTAGCCGGGCAGAAAATCATTGTCAAAGGACCAGAAGGCGACATTAGAAAATCTATGTTGTGAAGAAAACTGGGTAACTTTTTCTTTTAGGACAAAGGAGTGATTTACTCAACTACACCATTTCTGGTTTTCGTGCAAAGTTCAACTCCTTAATTTCGAACTAACTTTTTTGTGCCATATCAATAGATTGTCCTGTACGCAGGCACTGAGAGTAAAGATTGTCGTGAACATTAAGGGAAGATCACATCAATGATTTTTGATCATTTCTTAACTAACTTTGTGAGTGTTGCATAGCAAAGTACTGGTGGAGAAAAATACGTTAAAGACGCGGTAGATTGGCAATAGCTGGTGATACGGGTAACAGCAGTTCCGAATTGTTGAGCCCAATGAGAAACGGTGACCCGTAACATCTCAGTCCATAGACACGTGACTTTTAGCTGTTAAACAAACTTATCTTCTTGTTTTGTAACAGAATCAAACCGCCAAAATCGACCCGCTAAAAGAATAAAAGTTTTTAACCCCGAACCAGTTTTACGTTTGCAGTTTGTTCGTTATGTTTCGTTTGTATAGTATCTTAGTGATTGTTTGGAAAAAATAAGAATGCTGTAATTTTGGGAGAGGTTTTCGCTTTAGTTTATTGTAATAACAAATAGACGGGGTTGATCAAATCCATCACAGCAAATCGACTAGGTAACGATTATGGTCGATCCTCGTGTGGGTTCACATTTTATCCGCCTTTGGGCAATGTGGAATTAACATATCACTTACCTGGTCATACCCCTGTATTGAATTCCATCACAAAATCTTAAGTCGACGTTTTTAAACCACCCCAAGCATGTAATCATGTTTCACAGTTGACATTTTCTTTTGGGGCTAGGCTCAAGTGTCAACTGTCCTTTTTTAACATCGATGTTCATTATGTTCCCGATCATGTGCTCTGGTTTGGGAGCAAAGGGAAATGGTTGCCCAATCGGAAGTAGGTAAGCTCTCGTTTACAGCATGCTGGAAATTCTGTCAGTTGCGGCAGGAATCCTAACAAATTAGAATACAAGTTGGGGAATATACACAACTAGTGATGACGTTTCAATGCTGCAAATGTTAATACAATCCTCGGACTCTTGCTTCCCTTCCTTAAAAAGGGTGGTGGGATAAGAGAGTTTAGGGACCTTACTGGACTATGGTAATACAATCAATCAATCAATTAATCAATCAATCAATCAATCAAT